GGGGGTCTGGATCAGACATTTTGCTTTTAAAATAGAAAAAACTGTGACAAATAATACAATTGTAGTAACACTTCACAGTAAGGTTTCATTAGTTAACTTGAACTAAGAATGAACAATATATGTATTAATCTCAGTTAATGTTAATTCTAGCATTTCCTAGTACATATTTAAAAAAAAAACTAAAATTGTATTCGTTAACATTAGTTAATGCACTTTAAACTAACATGAACAAACAATGATCAGCTGTATTTTTATTAAAATGTATTGCTCATTGTTAGTTTATGTGTTAATAAATGAGACATTGTTGTAAAGTGTTACCGAAAAAGTAATGCATGCTGCATTATATTATGTATGTATGAAATTGTATATAGTGTACAAAATGTAAAATAGACTAAAGCATAACATTTTGGGGGTGTGTAAGCAAGGGTGCATTAAATTGATGCAAAGTGATTTTTTTAATGTTACAAAATATTTCTATTCCAAATAAATGCTGTTCTTTTGCTGAACTTTCTGTTCATCAAAGAATCCTGAAAAAAAGAGTGTATCATGGTTCCCACACAAAATTTGAAACAGCACAACTGTTTTAAACATTAATAATAAGACGAAATGTTTCTTGAGCATATATTAGAATGATTTCTGAAGGATCATGTGACACTGAAGACTGGAGTAATGATACTGAAAATTCAGCTTTGACATCACAGGAATACATTTTAATTTATTAATTTATTTATTTTTTATATTTAATTTTATTTGTATCTTTTTGTTGTTGTTGGAAATAAAATAAATAAATAATATTACCGTTTTTACTGTAATTTTGATCAAATAGCTATTGTGAGCATATATTCAAAAAATCTTATTGACCCCCTATACTTCTAAACAGTGTGTAAATATTAATTTCTATTATAACTTATACCTAAATTATAGACGAGTACTGTTGAAATTGGGCATTAGTGCACATCTGAAATCACCGTCATCAAGAATGTTTGGTAATGTGGAAGGAAGCGTTTTCAGTGTTTAACTGTCAAACTGAAAAGAAAACAACAAAAACCAAAAACAAACAAACATGTAATTTCATATTCCTGATGAGAGTGGCTTAGAGCAACTCTCTCTCCTCTATGATTTCCTCGCACCACCTTCTCTGCTGGCTGTTTGTTTCTTCAGCTCTCACCTCACTGTGTCCCACAGGATAAAGTTCATCAGAAGCTTCTGAAGCAATACCATCTTCTCTCCCTCTCTCATTAGCATCCAAAAGGTCTGATGTCTATTGCGGGGAGGGGGGGCCGAGAGAGAGGGGAACAATTACCGTCCCTCCAGTCTTTTTTATCCTTTTCAAAGGGCAGGGTGATTAGGAGAGGAAAGTTTAGATTTCCTGAACTTGAAGTGGAAACGCAGCAGTGACAGACGCATCTCGAGACTCAATCCACATCTGGCTGAGAGCGGGGGGAGTGTGTCTGTGTGGACGGCAGTACTGTAAACTCTCTCCACACACACACACACACACACACACACACACACACGCACTGTCCTTCAGTCTGTCTTCTGTTTTAAAGCCACTTCACATACAACGACAGCTGTGCTGAAGAAACCCAAATCTATCTAGTTTCAAACTGGAAAGTAAATAAACCGAGCAGATTTTATTTTCAAATTTTGATTTTATTGATGCTTGCATCTTGCATGCACTCGTGTCAGTTGCTCTTTACTTCAAAACTGAAATTTAATTCGACATGGTTGATGTGATAGATGTGATGTGAAAGAAAATTGCTCAAGAAAAATCCAAGTTGCTGCCAAAAATGTTGAGAGGGGCAATCATAACAGAACTGAAATGATTAACACATCATTGAGGCTAACATGATTAAGTGATGATGATTAACATAATACTTCATTAAAAAAAATATCAGTCAATTTTGGAGCTTGACTTTCTCCAGAGATCACATAACACTTTGTTGTGTATTATGACACAATGGACAGATACACAATATTAAAAAGTTAAAACTATATGTACATATTGTTTGTATCTCAAACAGTGAGAAAAAAAAAGAAATATATATATTGTATTTGTTATGTAAGCATACATTTGTTTGAATATACTATATATATTGTATACGAACGTAATATAAACTGGGTTCAGTAAATTGTTAAATTGATCAAGAAGGACATTTATAAAGTTATAAAAGAGTCTACTAAGTCCCCACGAGGAAAACAGCTTATAAATCATAGACTGATGTTTTTTTGAAAATGTAAAAATGCAGAGAGTTTTCTGTGATAGGTATAGGTTTAGGGGTAGAGTTAGTCTAAGGGGATAGAATATACAGTTTGTACAGTATAAAAATCATTTTGTCTATGGAAAGTCCCCATAAAACATAGAAACTTGTGTCTGTGTGTATCTTGTCTCCTTTATTTTCCAAAGACTGACTCATCCGATTCCCCTGTTTACTGATTTAGGCCGGAGAGGAGAAGTGTGGAAAATATGCATCTTCTCTTATAACTGTCCTTTTGTGGAGCACCAGTCCTCTGTAATATTTCTCACCGAGGTGAGAGTGTCCTTATGCCAGAGAGAGGCAGCCTCTCTTAACCCCTTCATCGCTCGCACAAAACCTCCATCCGCATGCACACGATCTGTATGTATGGAAAACGCAAAGAAAATGAAAAACAAAATTCCAGCCACTGCAAATAATGTTTGTCTTTTAATTTAAAAACTGTACTTTCATGTACTTTCATGTGATAACATGTTAACCGGGTTTATTCTCTGTGTGTGTGTGTGTGAGCTTGATGTGACTGATGACAGGCTGTTTGTTGCTCTGTAAATCAGCTGAATCTAAGCAGTGGAAAGGTGTGAGGGCCCTTCACATTTATGGGCCCTGAGAAGTGCGGACTTCATCAACATCCTCTATCATCAACTCCAAGTGCGTCAGACTCTCAGGGGTGCGGCCAGGGATTTTGGGCCCCATGAAAAAATAGGTACTGCTGCACCCGTTCAATTAATAAAATCGATTTCTGGGGCCCCTAAAAGTGTGTGGGCCCTTAGAATCGTCCTAACTTTTCCCCCCTTAGCGGCGCCCCTGCCACTCTGATTCACAGAGCTCTTTTAAACTCAATGCTTACCATCTTAGATCATGTAAAAATAATAAGCTGAGAAAATGAGACAATATAAACAGGGGAAGCTTGATGGTGTTTAAAAAAGAAACTGCCACAGTTTTCACTGAAATATGGTGAATTAAAGTTTTCATTCTTAGTTACATGCTGGAGTCCATAATAAAATAAAATTCTCCAACAAGATGTTTGGTTAAATATGTATTTTAGACACCTTTTTATTGCAGTTCACTATAATGGCCCTGATACATGACATTCATTTTATTAGGAGTATTACCAACGGCGCTATCTCACGACCAATTCGTACGAATTCGTACGAGTGATTAAAAGGTGGCTAATTCGTACGAATTCGTACGACCTCACTCGTATGAATTCGTACGATTTGTCTAAACCCACGTGACGGGTAGGTTTAGGGGCGGGGTCAGGGGTAGGTCATTCGTACGAATTCATACGAATTTGGTAACTCGTGAAATATGTACGAATCAGGAAAAATCGTATGAATTTGTACGAGTGAGGTCGTATGAATTTGTACGAGTGAGGTCGTATGAATTCGTTCGAATTCGCCAGCTCGTAAAATTCGTACGAATTGCAAATTTATGTCAATAAAAGCTTGATTTATATATAAACATAACTCTCAATTACAAAAGAATAGGACTGTTTAAATTGTTTACATAGGTTTAGATAAAGTATAACATGTTTGTGACAAGGAACTGCTGTCATTGCTCAACTTCTCATGTCAAGTACCCTAGCCTAATATAAACGCACTACACTTGTTGACTGACTGATGTCATGTTTATAGAATAGACTAATTTAAATTAAAACTGGCACGAAGTAAACAATAGGCCTATCCAATTTTAAAAACAACGTTATTGTTACAGTTGCATTTACGGTTTAATGTAGCCTAAATATTGAAATACTCATAAGAAGAAAATATTTTTTTTATGTTTGTTTATTATTTTAAACAAAGAATAAAAACTTCCAGCTGTAGCCTATAGAATTCAGGTCGAAAAGCAGCGCATAAATATCCCAGATATTGCTGTAGGACAATTATCTGGCTGGAGTCATGCTGGATTAAGGGAATTCACACATATCACCTTTGGGCCATCCACACTTCAGTCGAGCACTGGCGCAGGACGCGTCAATGGCCGCATCCTAATGGCCCGTCCCAGTAAACACGAGCTTTCTCACATGTGTATCTGGGACAACAAAAGATTAGCATTATTCGCAAATATACAGCTGAGTTCAAAGGCACCGAGGGAGCAGACACTGTCTCTCTTCCTTCTTTTGTTTCAAAGGCGAGTTCGCGAAAAGGAAAAGATTTAGGCTATAGCCTATCATTCCACGATAGCCTAATCCGATGTTCTTATAAAATGAGCATTTTGGTCAATGTTTCAATTAAAATAATTATAATAATAATACTAGCCAACATATATACATAAAAATAAGAAATGCATTTAAAATAGGCTATTTCATATTAATAATAGTCAAAAATATAAATGCAGAACAAGTAGGCTAAAAGTGTGCAGTCTAAATAAAAAGCTAAAGAAGTTGCAGACTAGACTATTATTCAAAAACATGAAATTAATTAATTATTATAGTCCAATATAATAGCTTAAGTTGTGCATAGTTTTCTAATGATGTCATGTTTTTCTTTTTATTTCATTATTATTATTATTTACACAATGGCCTGTAGCTAGGCTATCTTAATATCTTAAACGTTTTTCAGTGACTGTAAACTTTCAAGCACTTTAACACTTTGTAATGTGCCACTATGTAGCCTATGTCAAGAATACTTTCCGTTTTGTGGCGACAAATTATCGGGCGCTATTAGGGCGCGATGGGCCTGGTCTCGCGCTCCGGGTCACGCCCCGTAACAGCAGGGGCTCAGTATCGGGCCTTTAAAAAGGCTCTGGGCGCGTTAAAAGGGCAGTTTAAGACGTGCTGTCAAAGCATCGCAACCTACTGGGATTTGGTGATTTCGGACTTAACTCAAGGTCTATTTTATCGGAAATATGTCTTCCTCAAGTCCCGATCAGCGCCTGGATCACCTCCTGAGCGCAGTGGAGAGCGAGTTTCAGAAGGGCAGCGAGAAAGGCGACGCGTCCGAGCGGGATATTAAACTTTCCCTTGATGACGCGGAGTTGTGGACCAAATTTAAAGAACTCACAAATGAAATGATTGTCACTAAGACTGGAAGGTATGTTGAGATTTGACAACAGTTAAAACTAAACGCTCTCAATAGCATTATAGCCTAAAACATTTTTGCAAAGGTTTTTTTTTTTTTTTTTTTTTAAATCAGTAGCCTACTCCCAAATCTAACGTAAAAAGCACGAAAATTGTCCACGCTAAATTTTTACTTTTTTTTTTTATATATATTTTTTAAGTTAGGCTAGGTTAGCCTACACTATAAGTCTTCTGTCAGTCATCGCTAAAAAAAAGTTCCAGGAGCGTGTCTTACGACTCGATCGTTTATTAGCGTTCTACTTTTGTCGCGATCATAATTATTCTTGTCGAGGTCATTCAGTTTGAATGCTATTAAAATGTTTTTGACAAATCTTTGTCTCGTCTTCTAGGCGAATGTTTCCGGTGCTCAGAGCCAGTGTCTCCGGCCTCGACCCCAACGCAATGTACTCGGTGCTGCTGGACTTCGTGGCGGCCGATAATAACCGGTGGAAATATGTGAACGGCGAATGGGTGCCAGGTGGAAAACCCGAACCTCAGAGTCCGAGCTGCGTCTACATCCATCCAGACTCACCCAACTTCGGCGCGCACTGGATGAAAGCGCCCGTCTCTTTCAGCAAAGTCAAACTCTCCAATAAACTCAATGGAGGAGGACAGGTAGCCTAAAGGAACTCTTTAGATCTCGGTGGTGAAATAAGTAGCCTAAATGTACTGTAAAAAGTTTACAGTAAAAGCATACAGTTTTTGAGTTAAATATTTCAAATATCATTTAAAAAACAATTATGAATATTCAACATCTACATTTCATAACCAATATTTTTCTTCTTTTTTAGATTATGTTGAACTCTTTGCACAAATACGAACCCCGTATTCACATAGTGAAAGTCGGCGGGATTCAGAAAATGATCAGCAGTCAGTCTTTTCCTGAGACCCAGTTTATTGCAGTCACAGCTTATCAGAACGAAGAGGTGAGTTTTTGATAAATGACGCCTGAGATGTGTCCTCGACCTTCATAATGTTGCATTAATCAAACATTTTCCTCCATTTTCATTAGCTCTAATCCTTAATTATTTTCAGATCACAGCTCTGAAGATCAAGCACAACCCATTTGCCAAAGCATTCCTGGATGCCAAAGAAAGGTATAAGAAAAAACACAATTACTAAACGTAATTTCTCTTTAAAAGCCATTCTGTAACCCCGTTTTGATAATTGATGTATAGTGATTACAACTGAAATTTTGTTGTCATGTCAACAGAAGTGACCACAAGGACATCCCAGACCACAGCACTGACAATCAGCAATCTGGATACTCACAGCGTAAGTGAACCAACACTCAAATGAACTATACTAAATCTTCCCCTCAAACAGTGTCTTATAGTATATTTAACATTTGTGTCTCCCTCCAACAGTTGGTGGCTGGTTCCTGCCCAGTAACGGCCCTATGGGCCCCAGCAGCAGCCCTCCTCAGTTCAGTGGGGCCCCTGTTCACTCCTCTGGCTCGTACTGTGAGAGATACTCCAGCCTGAGGAACCACAGAGCTGCCCCGTATCCCAGCCATTACCCCCACCGCAGCACTACCAGCAGTAAGAGCAAATACATTCAGTTCAACTCAGCTTAAAGTACTTTATTGGCATGCTTGTGTTTACATACATTATTTTATATGAAGGGAAAAAAACATATACGGGAATGGTCTGGTCACACTTTATATTAGGTCCCCTTATCTACCTAGTACTTACATACAATTTTTTTTTTTTAAATTGTAGGTACAATGTACTTATTGTGTTTATGTTTTTCTGCTATTGAGGTGGGATACGGGTAAAGTTAGGGACAGGTTTGGTGGTTTAAGGGTGGGTTAAGGTGTAAGGAAAGGGTCAACAGTGTAATTCTAGATGCAATTACAGAAATTAATTACTGTAATTACATGCAGATATACTGTATATTCTTGGTTACTTTAGTTGGTTACACTTTATTTTAAGGTGTCATTGTTACAGTGTAATTATATATTTTAGTACTGATTTATATTAAGCAACTACATGCACTTAATATAGTGTTAGGGTAGGATTAGGATTTGGTTGAGGGTTAGTAACATGTAATTATGCATAATTTACTGTTATTACTATGGTAAGTACATGTAACAAGGACTGTCAGTATTACAGTGTAATTATACATTTAAGTACTGAGTAATAATAATTAACTACATGTACTTACTATAGGGTTAGGATGAGGATATGGTTTAGGGTTAATTGCATGTAATTATGCATAATTTATAGTCGTTACTACAGTAACTCCATGTAACGTGTAACAATGACACTGTAATATAAAGTGCAACCATATACTTTTTTGTAAATATAAGTACACAGTACACTTTGACTGTATTGATCAAGGCAATGGTTTCTGAGGGTGTGCAGTTAAAAAAAAAAAAAAGAAATTGCAGACTGTAAACCTTTATAGTTAAAACCAAGTCCATTTTAGCACAGTAACATTGTCATTCATAGCAGTTGAAAGTGTGTTTCATTGGATTCCCTTCCATTTATTATTTCCTTTACTTGTATTTTGCTTTTAGACAACTACATGGACAACTCTTCAGGAAGTCTTGCTTCTCACGACAGCTGGTCAGCCCTGCAGATACCCAACTCTAGCGGCATGGGCACCCTGGCCCACACCACCAACACTACATCTAACACCAGGTCGGGACTTTCTACACATTATTTGTTTGTATTAATAACAATGACTGACCCATGGATTCACTGACTAACCATGTACTTTCTGCGTTACAGCCAGTACCCAAGCTTGTGGTCCGTTGCGGGGACGACCCTCACCCCGTCGGGCTCAGCATCGGGGTCCATCACCGGCGGCCTGACGTCTCAGTTCCTGCGCGGCTCTTCGGTGTCCTACTCTGGGCTGACCTCTTCTCTGCCGGTGTCCTCTCCCTCCTCGATGTATGATCCGGGCTTAAGCGAGGTTGGCGTGGGAGATGCCCAGTTTGAGAGCTCCATCGCCAGGCTTACAGCGTCCTGGGCTCCTGTGGCACAGAGCTACTGAGTTCCAGATCAAACCCATCTGAGACTCTGTGACTGATGGTGCAGTATGGGACATCCTACAAAGGCTGGCCTACTTCCAGAGGGAATCTAGAAGAGCTTCTCGCCGTTTCGACAATCAGAAAACGGGTCCATTTTGAAATTCACATCTTGCGAGTATCACAATCTAGAGCTGATAAGAGACAATCACTTAATCATAGAGTATCTATATTTACAAAAGCCATCATGGGAATTTCAGACATCCGCCATAAAATGGGGCCAATTATTTTGTTTATTCTTAATAATATTATATAAAATATTAATAAGACCAAATCGTGCTGTTGACTCACTAAAATGTATATGTGTGTAAATAAATAGAAATTAACGACCATTTTCATTGTATTACAGTATATAACTGTAACAGTCTTACATGTGCTTTCTGTAGAACGAGAGAAAGACAGACTTTGCTGTTTAGTTTGAAATGGTGAAAACGGTTGAAAAAACAAGTGACCCTGTAGTTATGTCTGCATTCCGTCCTATAGAGAAATCATTTGTACATACCTATCTATTTGTATTTGTTGGACTCTTTGTGAGTTTTATTTATGTCATTTTAATAATAAATTAAATTTCTTTTTTTTTCTTCTGTCAGACACTTGCCAGTGGTCTTTATTTACCTTGTATTTAAAAAAAAAAAGACTTGTCGTATTATTAACATTTGGTTTGTTCGAGGGACTTTATGTACAGATCTTGATATTGTAAGGAACAAAAAATAACACTGCTATTATCAGAATATCAATTGATCATTTTAAGAAAGTGAATGTGAACAAAAATGAACACTGAAAAAAACAAAAAAACAGTTCATTGAAGTTCTTCAATAAACAACCCAAATGTAAATGATTCAAATTTAACAGCTAACAAAACATATTTCTTAATAACAATAACGTCCTAATTGATCATTGTTGTTAATGGTTGTTTCCTATGAAACAGTTCAGCATTAATGGGAGGTTTTAAATATTTGCTTGTTCAAAACACATTTGAGCAAGTATCATAAATTAGACATTATACATGAATAATCTGATAAGGGTTTTCAGGTCTTTGTGTGCACAATTATGTCTAATCATTTAAAAAGTCTTACTGTTCTATTATTTCATGTGTATTGTTGAACATCTTGATCTTGAGCGCAACAGCAGGTGGAAGATGATCCTTAAATTCAGGGAAAGGTAGTGAGTTTAGATGACTGAATGAAGAGAGATTCAGAGCATGTGATGCGCTTCACAATCTCTCACAGCGCTTTGCTAGAATCTGCAGATCTGTGTGACACATGGTCAACACATTTCAAATAAGAGAAGAAAAAAATCAATAACAAATTGCATGTGATCCTGACACCAATGAGAAAATTAAAATGGCAAAACCTAAAAAAACCCCCAATAATTTAATATTCTAAAAGAGACACACGTTCTATTTTTTTGCATTAACATTAATGTTGCACACTTTGTTAAAGATTTGTTTACTTATTAACACATTTGTCTTTTCATGTTTGTGCCATACTTCTTTTATGTATATTGTTGGAGGTCTTTTATAGTTTTTATGATTAAAGCTATTAATAATAATAATATAAACAACAACAACATTAATAATTATATTATTATTAGAAGTAGTAGTAGTAGTAGCGATGGTAGTGTATTGGTATTATTATTATTATTATTTAAAGCTTTGTTTAAATTATAATAATAATAATAATTATTATTATTAGTAGTAGTGGTGGTGGTAATGGCAGTTTATTGGTATTATTATTTAAAGCTTTGTTTGAATAAATAATAATAATAATAATAGTTATTATTATAATTATTCTTACAATTAGTAGTGGGTAATGGTAGTGTATTGGTATTATTATTATTGAAAGCTTTGTTTAAATGATAAAAATAGCAATAATAATAATCATGATAATAATAATAATAATAATTATTATTATTATTAGTAGTAGTAGTGGTAATGGTGGTGTATTGGTAGGCCTATTAGTATTTTATTCTTATTTTAAAAGCTTTGTTTTCTCAGGTAATCAGGATTAAGATCTCTCATTAATGAAATGAAATGAAACGCTCTGTGCATGAGCTGTGTGTGGCGTGACTGATAGCTGCTGATGTCACTGCTCATTGACAGCACTGGAGATCTGCGGCCTGGGCCGTGATTGAGCACTCAACACTAGGGCGTAAATGAAGCCTGGAGGGTCACGGGGACACAGGCAAACAATAATGAAGGAGCAATGTGACAGGCAGCTGGTAGAGCAGCCACGGTGTGTGTTCCCAGAGCAAAGAGAACAACCCATGAAAGTTCGTCTTTCTAAACAGATCTCTGTCTGTACTGTGTGGAGGTCCAAACTCTCACAGAACGCAGCCCTGAAAAGCACTTTGTACATTGTAGAAGCAACAGACTGTTGTAAAAGCACTTGCACATAATGCACAGGTTTTGAAGGTATATCCTGACAATTTAGTTTAAATGGTAATCTCTAACATTTTACAATGTTAAAAAATCTGAAGAAAAAATAAATACATTTGTATTTGGAGAGTCTTAACACATATCCAAAGTTTCATTTTTGTACTAAAAACAATGGCTTTCAAAAAAATGTTATGCACCTCTTCCGGGTCAAATCGGACCTGAATGCATCAGGAGGGTTTAAAAAATCCTGAGAATCACGCAAATATTAATTTAGACTTTAAAATGTCAAAAATGTACAATGATGGATGGGGTGGGCATACAGATCTGGCTTGATAACATACAAATTGGAAGACTTGTTTGCTAGAGGATGCGATAAATGGGAGGTCGCCATCGTGAGGACGGCACTAACCCATTGTAGTAAGTCACATTTATGTGCATTATGAATGTAAATATGAAATACAGACACTTATTTCAAACCAACATCATCTGCCCTCAAATGCTGCTAGCGTCTCACAACTAACATACATTTTCAGATCAATTGTCGCAATAGCTTTTAACTGGAGTCCATGTGGTTTTTAGTGAAGGTATGAAGTCATTTCTCCTCAAGTTCACACAGGTGTCCTATAGAGCAACCACAGGTGTTTCTTTAAATGCATCTGATCAGTGACGAGTCTTCTCCGAGTATTTGTAGCTCTCTGACTGAGCTCTTTGTCTGCACACTCATAACATCCTAAACACACACATATGGCAGCCTGCCTGTGTTGATCCTTTGTTAATAATAGCATCATTGGGTCTCTGTCTTCCTGGCAAGTGTGTCTTTTAAATACGCTCTTCAAAGTGTGCTCGGCACACAGGTGAGGAAAGGAAGGCCTATAGGACCCCTCACTGTGAGGACAAACGAGATCATTGTGTTCTGAAGTGTGCTATTTGTTGTTTTCCATTGGTGCCCGCTTTACCCATGTGGACCTCACCAGTCTTGAGTTTGCTTGTTAACACTGCTAACATTGCATGTTAATGAGAAAGTGGATATTGAGAATTATGTGTTTATGATACATTAGCACAAGTCATTCTCTGAGATGGCTTCTGTACTTGTGTTATTTTTGTGTATGTGGTGTCGTTTAGAACAAATTTCACTGTTTTAGTTGAAAAACATTACATTACGTCACAAGTTTTATAAGCTTATGTTCCACCGGAAATTCAAAAATCGTATGCTGATCTAAGAATGCATTATGAAGGTTGAAAATAAATGCATTGTAATAAGTGCATTTTCCCAATTAAAAACTCACTTTAAAAGTTTGTAATTGAATTCACATCCTATTAAATTTGGCATAACAGGATGAAATCTGAATGAGTGGGCCAAGAATATGACGAGAAAATGTCAAACGATCTTCAAAAAAAGGAAAAATATTTGTTAAAGCTGCCATTAGTATATACTAATATGGTGGAAAGCAATACTGGGGGCAGCAAACATGAACAGAACTGGGGACAGAAATGTCAAACAATCCCAAATCAAAACTGAGGCTGCATCTGAAATCGCATACTTCCCTATAGTAGGCGAAAAACAGTATGTGACAAAAGTAGTATGTCAGAATTCACAAGAGAGTAGGCTATGAGATTTCGGACGCAGCCAATCGACTTGTTAGGTTTTTCTAGCTCAATTAACCTTAAAGTATGACATCAACATTTTATAGCTGCTGTTAGTGTATATATACACTCACCTAAAGGATTATTAGGAACACCTGTTCAATTTCTCATTAATGCAATTATCTAATCAACCAATCACATGGCAGTTGCTTCAATGCATTTAGGGGAGTGGTCCTGGTCAAGACAATCTCCTGAACTCCAAACTGAATGTCAGAATGGGAAAGAAAGGTGATTTAAGCAACTTTGAGCATGGCATGGTTGTTGGTGCCAGACAGGCCGGTCTGAGTATTTCACAATCTGCTCAGTTACTGGGATTTTCACGCACAACCATTTCTAGGGTTTACAAAGAATGGTGTGAAAAGGGAAAAACATCCAGTATGCGGCAGTCCTGTGGGCGAAAATGCCTTGTTGATGCTAGAGGTCAGAGGAGAATGGGCCGACTGATTCAAGCTGATAGAAGAGCAACTTTGACTGAAATAACCACTCGCTACAACCGAGGTATGCAGCAAAGCATTTGTGAAGCCACAACACGCACAACCTTGAGGCGGATGGGCTACAACAGCAGAAGACCCCACCGGGTACCACCCACTGTTGAGACATTCAGATGGTAGAGTCAGAATTTGGCGTAAACAGAATGAGAACATGGATCCATCATGCCTTGTTACCACTGTGCAGGCTGCTGGTGGTGGTGTAATGGTGTGGGGGATGTTTTCTTGGCACACTTTAGGCCCCTTAGTGCCAATTGGGCATCGTTTAAATGCCACGGCCTACCTGAGCATTGTTTCTGACCATGTCCATCCCTTTATAGCCACCATGTACCCATCCTCTGATGGCTACTTCCAGCAGGATAATGCACCATGTCACAAAGCTCGAATCATTTCAAATTGGTTTCTTGAACATGGCAATGAGTTCACTGTACTAAAATGGCCTCCACAGTCACCAGATCTCAACCCAATAGAGCATCTTTGGGATGTGGTGGAACGGGAGCTTCGTGCCCTGGATGTGCATCCCACAAATCTCCATTAACTGCAAGATGCTATCCTATCAATATGGGCCAACATTTCTAAAGAATGCTTTCAGCACCTTGCTGAATCAATGCCACGTAGAATTAAGGCAGTTCTGAAGGCGAAAGGGGGTCAAACACAGTATTAGTATGGTGTTCCTAATAATCCTTTAGGTGAGTGTATATAGGAACAGAAAACATGAACTGTCGAGAAAAAAATGATTGGTTTAAGGATTTATATTATATATTGAAATAGTAGCAGTATTTTAAGTAAATATTATTAAAAAATAATCCGCTTGTGATGAGTTTCAATCCATGTTTTTAATGTAATATTGATTTCCCCAAGAAACAGAATAGAGAGAATGGCAGCATGTGTTCCAGTCTATCCATAGGGACCTCGTTTTCCATCAACAATGCCAATGCATCTTCTATTTCCCGGTATCGGTGCAGTCAGTACAGAGTGAGTGCATGACTGGGTAAACACTTGGGTTATAATGGTGAGTCTGAATGCGAGGACTTGAGGATGAGTTATGGGTCCCTGCTGCCAAAAACAAGTCATCAAGTCTGGAGCGGCCCGTCGTGGTGCTGTGTTTGCCCATCATCTCTCTTGCCTTTCACCCCCACACAAACCCACTTCGCCCTCTGATGTCTGTGTGCCTTCGCTAATGAAGAAATTCTCGTACCTGGGTGAGACATAGCTGTCAGCTGAGCAACCTCCAGCTCTCTGTCCCGAGTCTTCACCCCGGCCAGCTCAACACTACACCCACCGACAGAGACGGAGCGTTCTGGGAGAAAACATTACCGCTGCATCATGCAGAAGGTGGCCTAGCTTTACCTCTTTTCTCAAAATCACAAATCAGATCTCTTTAATATCTCTGTCAATCCTCCTGGACTGCAATGAGATTAAATGGAGAGCTTTGCTTTAGGCTGCTTTTTTTTTTTTTTTTTGCCTGAGAAAATCAAAAGATCTCAATACAAACTCAAACACTTCTCATTAAATTATTTCACTTTAACACACTTTTAAATAGAGTACTTATTACAGAAATAATATAATTTAACACTCCAGTTCTGCTCACATGGCTGTCAATGAAATGAATGTACTATATTTTAATTCAATGATGTTTTTTATTTAATATTTTGTAACTTCAGGGGATTTTATTGAACTAAATTATATTTATGGAATAGTAATGATCCATCTATTATCCATTAACCACTTTTCAGCATGTACCTGAAAAGTACATTTATATTAAATGCAGTTATCTGAACATTAAGACATTTTTATATGAAATTTCATAATTACTTCTATTGGCTTTCAAATATGGTTAAAGTGCACTGCCAAATGTACTCACAAGCATTTATGGAAAACTAAAACATAATATGTCATTTCTATATCTAAATGTGTATGTCATATATTTAAATATATTTTGCAATAATGAAGTAGCAATTTAGTCCATTTAAAATATATTAACTTTAAATCGAATAATACACTACAGTTATAATCAAGTACTTTACATGTGTTTTATTATATAAGTCAACACATCGAAATAAGCGAACTACTTTAAAGCATGACAATTGATTGTTCAAAAATATTTAAAATGTTACTACTAATACATTTTAAACTTTCACACGGTAAAAAACATACATTTTGTGAATGTATTGTCAAATATGAATTAACAATGAACAATACTTTATTTATACATATTTACAACATTAATAAATGCTGTAAAAGCTGTAAAGATACATTAGGAAAATAACTATTAACGTTATTAAAAAGTCAAAGCAGTTTTTTCTCCGATACAATAAAAATAAAGCGAAACATAGGCCTATAATAAATCAGTTTATGGACAAAAGAGAATAATGAAAACGGTTTTAAGTTATTCAAAACTGTCTAAATTAGTAGGCCTATAGTTCACTAAATGATTGGTCTGCTTCAAAAAATTTTTAATAAAATGTTGTGCTTTTGCTAAACATCATCAAATGTTTGTCTACCATTTTGACGACTGAGCTGTGAAATTGCCTACAAGAGGCAAAGTTACTATTAAGATTTAGGAAACATATGTGCCATTTCACATACAACAAACACTTGCTAGTTTGCACGAGCTAATGCAACTGACAGGCTCGAGTAAGATGGTAACTGACACTCTCACCATCATGATGAAGGCCGCCACTAAAGCTATAGACAGTCGCACGATGTCCAAGAGAGTTGTTAACAAACTGCACACTCGGCTCCAAACCATTAGCAGTGATACAAAATATACAATCAAGCCTGGGTGAGGAATAACTTCAATGTGATAGCCAGGATGTCAGAGGAGGGTCTGATCTGTTGTTCTGCTCTAAAGAAATGGATATTTGAAATACATGATTGAATACATTTAAAATGAAATAAATAAAAACTGCATACAAAATATATGACATAAAAAATGGGATAACACCCATCAGACTATTCTAAAGAACAAACTGGTTCTAAAGAAGAAGGTCCCAAACATGACATTTTTTCATGTTAAGTTTCTCATATTGCTAGGGCCAAAGTGATCCCAAACAGAAAGACTTTTAGTGTGGAGAATAATGCTTGTCTTCTTTCTGGTGTAAAAAAGGATGATTAATATCTTCCTACTGTACTGGGTTTAAATATATGTCAGAGGAACTGTTTAAAGGAAATGATGGGAAAACAATAGATTCATCTGGAATTACTATTATTTTTTAGTCTAAGGGTCTCTGGGTCTCTGTTTCAACACAGTACAGTAATTTACTAGCCACCATGATTAAAATCAATAAAAATTAAATTAAATTATTTTTATTTTACAGCAGTAACAACTGTAGTAAGTATGATATGTTTCAGTGGTAACAATAATCACCATGGTAAAATTTGTGTAAGGTTGAAAACGAGAGGAACCCTCACGTTTTCAACCCACCTTACAAATTGCCGCCACCTGATGGCCAGGAGAGGAAAAACAATTTGCAGCTCCCACAAAAACAGCCAGTATTTAAAACCACTGTCTCAACGATCTTTTGTCAACACTGACCCCTTGTGTCTGCACCATGGCTGCCTGCATCCGAAATCGCATACTTCCCTACTATATAGTAGGTGAAAAACAGTACGTGACAAAAGTAGTATGTTCGAATATTACAGTACTCATAAAAGAGTAGGCAAAAAGTACCCGGATGACCTACTACCTTCAGTGAGATTCTGAAGTGTGAATGTGATGAACACTTTACTATCACATGAGGCCATGGGAGAGGATTTGTGAATGACAGTGAAGTGACATCACGTGATAATGACAACATCTTGAATGTAGTACTTCCAGATTACATGTTCATACTATATAGAATAGTTTTTTTTAGTGGTCATGAAGTGATTATTCACAATATTCTTAAATTCTTCTCAAAATAAGAACCTTCTCAAGAGAGCATATGATTTCGGACACAGCCATATTCTCGAGTAGGTAGCCTACTTGTTTTTAACAATTACTTCACGACAGCAAAAAAAGTATGATCTATAGTATGAATGTAATCTGGACATGCTACATTCACCATGTTTTCATTATCACGTGACCTACCAGCGTCAGTTGCGTCGCTTCACGGTCATTCACAAATCCTCTCCCGTGGCCTCATGGGATAGTAAAGTGTCCATCGTACTAGGCACACTTCAGAATCTCGCCGGATGTAGGTCATCCGGGTACTTTTTACGGGTACTGTGAACGCAGCCCATGACATACTGTTTTATCTAACAGTAAAGTAGATCAGGATATAGGTAAAAGATTTATAAATAAAATAAATTGTTTTAAAGTTTAATTTTAAAGTAATCAAATCTTTAATTATAATAAATATACTGAACATACTGTATTTTTTTTGTATTTTAGAAACCTTCACATTTCTTAGGGGCAGAGCACTTGACTGTTCACTCTAGTTTGTAATTAAAAAATTTTTGAGTTAAATTTGCCATAAATCTGGTCAACTTGTATAAAAATGTCTTCATAAACGTTTTCATCAGGCTCATCGTAATAACACTTGATAACTATTTAGATTCACTAATCAAAATGTTATTTCATTATAACCACTCTATGAAACAATAATCTTATTCCAGGTTACCACTGGAAAAAGTGTGCCGCTATAACCAGCAGTCTGTATACGTAACTTTACAGGACATTTATAAAACCTTGACAATCAACATAATTGTTTTGAGAGACTTTAAGAGTTAAAGTTACACAAACAGGTAAGGTTTCAACTGATTTATTTAAAAAACAAAAAGACAAAGAAGCAAGACATGGTGTATGATACTTTCCTCATCACAACATGGAAATTGTTAGTTGAACACTCGTAAACCCAAAAACAAACTCGTGTAACTGATCAGGTGAGCAGAAAAGGAGGGTAACCTTGGGTCACATGTACAGTGATGATCATTCAGAGGTTCATGCAGCACAAACGGCTCTCAGCTGAACTTGGCTTTAGAGAAGTCCATCTCAGGATGCTGAGACATAAACCTGCAGACAGAAGAAAATGTATGCATTCAGAAGTGTACGCTTCAACTTTAAACACACAGAATGGATTTATTTACATGACCGTTCAAATGGTTTGAGGTCGGTAAGATTAAAAAAAAAATATATATATATAATATATATGTTTTTTTGACACATTAACTCATACTAACTGTTTTCTATTTGAATATATTTTAAAATGTAATTCTTCCTGTGGAGGTAAAGCTGAATTTTCAGCAAAAATTACCTTCAGGGTCACATTATACTTCTGAACCAATTTTTAGAGTTATGCTGCTTAATATTTGTGTGTGGAAACCTTGATACATTTTTCAGGATTTTTTTCTGATAAACAAAGTTTAAAAGAACAGAATTTATTTGTTTTCAGAGTCACTTTGTTCAAATTAACGAATCTTTGTTGAGTAAAAGTACTAATTTCTTTAAAAAAAATCTTACTGACAAAACTTTTTAAAGGTGCTATATGTAACTTTTCTTCTAAAATGAATCCTTTTTTTATTGCCTGTGTGTGATGCCTGTCGGGTTTTGCTATTTTACAACACCGGTACCTTGAGTGCTCGCTCTTGTGTTCGAGTACGCGCAAGAGCACGAGCGCTCTTGTAAAAATTGGTTGCAATCTGAAACATCACCGATAGAGGCCGCTAAAAAATACATATAGCACCTTTAACTGTGGTATATATAATGAAATTTTATTTCAAGGTAAAATGTATTTCATAAATTTTTTTACATTAATTATTTATTAATTCATATATTTTGGGAGTCGCAGCTCATGACATTTTACAAAAAAATGTCAAATTATCTGAATATTAAAGAGACAATCATGAGGGTTTCTCTCTGACATTATTCCAGTTTTTTTTTTCTGGTAGCACCACATGACTTTGTATTCTTACTTCTTCAGGATATCCTGCTTCTTCTGCTCTTCAGAGGTGGGCAGCCCCATGGACTTCTGCCTCTGATCATACATCATCTTCTCCACCATACTGCGCGTCTCACCGTCCAAATCTGACAGCTGAGCAGATTCCATTTAAAAACACGGCATGGGATGAAAAGGTGCGATTCATCATTTTGCCTTGTAATAATTCAATATTAATTAGACTACACAATGATCCCTTCAAGCTTGAACATGCTGTTTGAAATCAACCCTTGATCAAAAACCTCAAAAACCCTTTTGACTAGGAGATAGTTTGCTCTTACCTTGGAATTCTCTGGGCAAATTTTCTTGGTGTTGATTTCAGGGTCTGTGGCCACAAACCTGCCCCACCACTCCATTTTGTTTATCTGGAATAAACGTGCATCATTAGTCATCCGGGCAAATCACAAACTCAGACAAATGCCATCTATGCATGCTCTCATCCATACCTTCTCAAAATGGATGGTGACCACTTTCCCATCCTCTATGAGCCAAGAGCTCTCCTCCACTTTCACATCATTGCACAGCTGTCCGTCAATCACAGGCGGATGACCCTTCAAGCCGACCTTCAGGGAACGCCGCTGTATGTCCACGACCACATCCTTGCCCTTCAGACGGAAGTTCACATCGAAGGGCACAACCAGCTGTGAGAGGATTTGACAGTTGAGATATTGGGAAGAGGGTCTTTTTTGATTTAAGAAATTATTTTTTACAAAAAATCCCATTACCTTAATTATCATGAAAATGTTACAATGCAAATGTATTTTCTTCATGCAAAATCTCTTATTTTTTCCCATTTTGATTTTGGGTTAAGTACAACTGTGTGTTAGTTACCTATAAACATTCTGATCTTCACCTTGTGTGTATAATAAATAGTGATGCACTGAAATGCATATGTGGCCAAAATAACAAAAAATCAAATGATTTGGAGGGCCGAAATCATTGACCGAAACAGTGACATTATTTAGTGCAGTGGTTCTCACCCGGAATTATAAAAAGAAGGGAGCGGCAAGGCTAAGGAATAGTGTACAGTTAACAGACTTATGCAAAAGAACTCTCTGATTGACTGACTCTCTGTTCAACTGGAAAAATACGACTCACATCCACTTCAGACAGGGTCTGAGTCCACCGGTAGTTTGAAAGGTCTGCTCCATTTCCAGCATTGGGCTTTATCTTGTCTTTGTCCTTTTCATCTTCCTCTCCTTCTGAGTCCGACTGACATACACACACAAGTGAGCATTAGACATTTATGAAGAGCTGCTCAAAACTACATTATCATTTCAGTTTTCACTAGTATATTTAATAATGATATAAATCCCACTTACCCCTTTTGTGTCTTTTGCGTCTTTTGCTTTCTCTGATGTTTCGACATCTGTTTTCTCAGCTACTCCAGAATCTTTCTTTTCTTCATGTTTTGTCTGAGAAATGGTGAAAGTTACTCATGTCATGAATCACATTTAATGCTTACATGGTGTTAAAGGATTAGTTCACCTCAAAATGAGAATTTCCTAATAATTTACTCACCCCAATGCCATCCTAGATATTCATGTCTTTCTTTCCTCTGTGGAAGAGAAAATAAGTTTGAGGAAAACATTTCTGGATTTTACTTCGAATAATGGACTTCAATGGACATCAACGTTTTGAAGTCCAAATCAATGCAGTTTCAAAGGTCTTTGAAGTGCTTCAACCGGCTGTGCACGATCGCATCTGAGGAAGAGGGTCTTATCTAGCGAAACGATAGGTCATTTTCCAAAAAAAACAAAAAAAAACAAATATATATACTTTTTAACTACAATTGTTCGGATTGAGCTGATCTGCAACGCGCCGGGAACTACGTCATCACGTTGAAAGTTCACGCTCGATGAGATTTAAACACCCAGGATACGCACACGTAAGGACCATTTTAAACAATAATATGACACAAAGACATAAATATGTCATTCAACAACATACAGTACAATTTTAACTATCCTCCTTCGCACAGCCGCTTTGTAAACAGTGGAGCGGTACTTCCGCCGGCGACATCGAGCGTGAACTTTCAACGTGATGATGTAGTTCCCGGCACGTTGCAGATCAGCTCAATCCAAACAATTGTAGTTAAAAAGTATATATATATTAGGGGTGGGCGATATCTCGATATTTAAAGGTTCTCTAAGCGATCCTGGGTGACGTCACTTCTTGTTGACGTTCGAACTATTGTCAAACAAAACGGAGGCTAGCTAGACCCTCCCTCCTCCTCATCCGCACACTAACCCCCCAAACCACACCCCCAAACCCTTCTTGTCGGTCATTGGCTGGAACAGTTTGTTATGTTTTGGGGAGCGGGTCGCTGCAGTTTGTTTTTGGTGCTGTTTGTGAAGCATGGGCTGTCTACAGAGATCGCGTTTCTTTACAGTGTGTTCAGGGGACAGGCAGCCAGCGGATAGTGAGGAGATGTTTGCTGTATGTGACAAAAAATGTTTTGGCCTAAAAAACACATGACATCGCTTAGAGCACCTTTAAAATATATCGAGATATTTTTTTAACACGATATGGATTTTGACATATCGTATATATCGATATATTGTTTATATTTAATCCTGATTTCGCCACTTTGCTTGTTTGCCTTCTCTGTGCTGTGCTCGCCCCCGCCTCCTTGCTTTTGTTCCCCCTCACCTCGCGTGTTGTCTCATTCAACAATTGTCTCATCCGCAACCAGCCCGGAGGCTACAGAACTCCGAGTGTGTCTGCGCGCGAGCGACAGAGCACGAGAGAAACCGAGTTAACCGAGTGTGAGCATTAATTGCATTAGTAAATTGGTAGCCTACATACTACAATATATATTTACTATATAAGAGGCATGGAAGTTCGATTAATGGACTCCAGTAATCAGAAGGCTACTACAAACGTCTTGTTTTAAACTATTGCAGGGCTCGAATTTCGGCGCGGGTATTGCGCATAATTCTAATCATTCCCGCAGGTCTCCCTTTTATAATGCGGGAAATTCCCGCAATCGTAATCCACACAGATTATAAAATCAAATCATTCTTTTAACAACTATCTGCCAGACGCAATTTCACAAACAGCGTGAGTGTTCAGCGGTGCCGCTTCTTTCTCGTCTCTCATAATGTGTTGTGCAAGGCAAGCATCAAGAGCTGCGGCGATAACACACACTCGCGTTTAGGAGTCGGGACATGATGGATATTCACTCGCACAATCGGGCCAGCAGTGCATCGTGACTGAAGTTTACCATTTGCACGTCTTTTTAAGTCTTACCAGTTTAAACATTCAAGCGATTTTAAACTAATCAGTGCTCGCGCGCTCTGAGAGATTATTTTCTATGCGCACATTCATAGAAAATCCGCCTTAAGAACAGCTGGCCAGTAACAAAAGTTATTTTTCGCGGATTATATTGCTTTAACACGCAAAATTGTCAATTTCGGTCGTCGTGAGTATACTCTAAACATAGTCGGTTTTGTCTTTAATAAGCATAAAACGCATGCCAGTATAATGAACACAGGATCCGTGCACTAGCTCTTAAGTGACGGCAGCCATATGTGTGTCATTCATTTTGTTGTCAATACAACAAAAGATAGCTTTAAGTTAAAGGAATCAGGATTATTAACCTATGTATTTAATTTATTCAGGACTAAAATACTACTCAGTGTTATTTTCCATTTGATTACTTTATTCAGTTTCTGTATATGAATCACGTGATTAATAATGATGACGAAATTCAGGCCCTGTGTTTAATTTTTCTCATTTGGTTACATTCTGTTATGGAAAATTAATTTTCTATTGATTGTAGGCCTATATTTTGAGTTGTATTCACATCCATTTTCCTGTAAAGATATCGAGATATATATCGAATATCGAGATATAGCAAAATATATCGAGATATATTTTTTGCTCCATATCGCCCAGCCCTAATATATATATATATATATTTATTTATTTTTTGTGTGGAAAATGACCTATCGTTTCGCTAGATAAGACCCTCTTCCTCAGATGCGATCGTGCACAGCCGGTTGAAGCACTTCAAAGACCTTTGAAACTGCATTGATTTGGACTTCAAAACGTTGATGTCCATTGAAGTTCATTATTCGAAGAAAAATCCAGAAATGTTTTCCTCAAAAAACGTATTTTCTCTTCCACTGAGGAAAGAAAGACATGGATATCTTGGATGGCATTGGGGTGAGTAAATTATTAGGACATTTTCATTTTGAGGTGAACTAATCCTTTAAAGGATTCTCTCATTTAATCACCCTCATGTTATTCCAAACCCATTAATCTTCTAAACAGGTTTCATTATAAATTTCTTGATTTTTGTTTTAGCAGATTAACCAAAGTCTTATGGATTGGGAGTAAATGATGACAGAATTTTCATTTTTGGGTGATCTATCCCCAAAGTTGTAAAAGTATTTGGTTTATGTATATTTGATATTAGATAAGGTAATACATAAACTCCTGGTTTCACAGACAAGGCTTAAGCTAGTCCCAGACTAAAATGCATGTTTGATCTGTTTTAACTGAAAGCAACTTGCACTGACAAATCTTAAAAATTATGTAAGTGCCATTGTTTTGTCTCTAGATGCACACTAGCAATGTTTTTTTCTAAGGCATATTTATAAAAGCTACTAAATGCCCTAACTGAACTAAGACCTAATCCTGTCTTAATCTAAGAATCTTAATCCACTTAATCTATGAAACCAGGCCAAACAGTATTAGAACATTTAGTACATAAACAGGGCATAAAAGAGTTTTATGAATTGTAATGGTTTAAAAATGCTCTCACTTGATTTAATTGTGACTGGAGTCTCTCGGCCTCCTCATCAGTGAGTTCTTTGATTCTAGGCTCCTCTGCGTCCTGTTTCTTCTTTTTCTCCTCTTCCTTCAGTTTGGCAGCTCGGTCAGCCTTCTCTTTCTTCTCTTTCTCTTGTCTGGACTGTTTGTCTTTCTGAACTTTGAGGGCGAGCTGATTGTGATGAGCAAACACCTCTTTAACCAGCTATAGGACAAATGAAAAGAAAGCAGAACAATAATTGGTTGGAATAACAAATGCTCACAAATTTAGTCATAATATAAAGGTACATTCAGCAATTGTTCATCATTAAACAAAAAATTATATAAAAAAAGATGGCATTGGTTTCTAATTATAATAAAAAATGTGAATAACATCAAATTTAATCTTATGCAAAATTTTTTTTTAAAATATATAATTTTTTTTTTTTTATATTTAGGGAATTTGTATATATATATATATATATATATATATATATATATATACATATACATAAGACACTACTTGGAGTGAGTAGCCTAAATAATAGCAGAAATGTTTAACTTTTGGGTGAACTATTCCTTTGAAGTCACCTCACCACTAAATCAAAATTCACAATTCTTTTTTTTATTTTTATGGAATATTGCAGTTTATTATAAATGATTTAAGGGCCAGATTTACTAACATCTTACGCCAGCGCAAACCCTCTTTTGGTGTTAAAAAACTACTGTCAGAATCTACTAAAGACACATAGTGAAAAAAGGCGTGAACAGTTAATTTTGTGGCTGACCTTATTGCATATATGCATTTGTAGGAGTTTCCATTTCAGACGGAAAATTTATGAGAGGAGAGTATTTAAATGAATCATGCAAGGTGATTTAATAAGGTGTGCGCTAGTGTTTTTTGAGTGATTTACTGCCCAGAAAAAGCTTGTCTTAAACCAGACTCTAATTTGCGCTGCTCTTCGTAGATTGCGTTGGTCATTATGGAAATGATCCGGCTGCGTCTGTGTTCTTTAATTTGCACATCAGTAGATCACGCGCAGAACTTTCCACTCCCATGCCATCAGTGCTTTTATGGGATTGCGCTCTCACGCTAATGTGCAGTTTTGTAAATCTGGCCCTTAGTCGTGTAAATCATTATTTTTAAAATAATTCATGTGTGCTTCTCGTAATCTTTAATCAAAATAACTTCCTTTCCCTCCTGCAATGACATCTCTTCTCTGATGACGTGTTTTTCAGCACAGAGGCAGGACAATTTGTCACTCACATTAGATCACAGCAATAGCAAACCAACCACAACCATCCAATCTATACTTAATAAACAAAATCAAGTCCCGCTCTACGAGAAGCCGTTTTACTCAAATATACGTCACAATAGGGAATAAAATACTATCACAACTTCAGTTTCATGTTGACTTTAAGGTGCAAAAAGACAAACAGTCAATGATTCTCAAATATAAATAAAGCAGACATGACTTCAGTTAAATCTTAGTTAGTACAACTGACAGTCAAGAGACCTTCTCTGGGGCTCCAGGCTCTCCTCCCGAGAAGAAATCCGTTTTCCTCCTTAGAAAACTGAAGAATGTGTTCACCAGCTGTCAACAAAAATAACAAAGAAGAAATGAGAAGACGACAGAAGTGATCCTCAACTAGAGGTATAACACAACAACAAGCTACTAATGTTCACTGGAATGGCATATAATAATAAATCAGGTTTATGGGTTTAATGGTAATTTTTATTCAATCTTATAAGACATATACCAAAATAACACATTCACAGTATTTATTGATATACAATGGCTGTTTCAAAACCTAGTGAGCTGCCTAACTAGACAGCATTTTTGACATCCTAGGACATCCATATTTAAAGACAGTCTAAAAATATATCTGACTAGGTTTTAAAACAAAAACATGTTCTCCACATATTACAACATTCTAATACCCTAACGTTATATAGTTAGTGCATGTATAAACAATAAATGATAACCGCATATTAATGTGCTGCTTTGCCAAACCAACACTAATACGCAGCCAAGTACTCCTTAACTAATGTACATACAATGTCTTTTATATTAGAGCCAGTCATCGTGCATCAGTTAGCTCGGCTGCTAGCATGCAACTGCATGTGTTGACATATTACCTCCTGCACTCCTCCTTCATGCTGCTGCGCCATGGCGAGCAACATCCCATCGAATTTCTCCTCCTCATCACACATTTTCACTATTTACTAGAGATAGCAGATTAAAGAACTACAGTTTGATGTGTGATGCTAAGAAGCACGCGAACACCGGTGTTGCCTAGACTTCCTAGATACAAGGACCGCCCACATAATCTTTAGGACCAATCAGATCACAAACACTTGAAGGACAAACGCGCAAACCAATCGGATGACAGTTTAGAAAGCTGTAGCGGGTGAGGCAGCTCTTAAAGATGAGGCCCGAGGACCTTTATATGGCAGAACTTTCTAGAGACCACTGACAGACTTATTCGGACAGATAGAAGAATAATACATACAGTTTTGAGATTGTCTTTATATTAAGCTTAAGAAATGGTCTTGGAAATGAAAAACATAAGCACACGATAACACATGAACTTCTAGACTATATAGCCTACCAATACAATTCATGGGCAATTTCATAGCCTATGTACAATGGAATAATAAATAAAATACAAATAATAGTCGTATAGTACCTGAGAACACTTCCATATTCACTAATAAATTACTTGTCTGTAGATTGTCAGTAACATTTATTCTGTTTAAATAATATATAATAATTATCATAATTAAGTAGGCTCTTCATTAATAACATGGTCATGATAATGATGATCTGGTGCCAGCTGTAATAATGTATGAATAATATACAAATATTGATAATTATTTAATATATCAATTACAATTATTAGATAAAAACAATAAAACATTATTTTCAAACATGATATTATTTTCTTTTTTTTATTATTATTGTTTGTCTTTATTTCCACCATTTATTTAAATGAATGATTCCACATAATTTTTTAAAAAGAATCTGAGGTTGTTTTCATCTATTCACTTGGCTTGCCTGCTTCTGAACGCAATGCAGATTAATATGATAATAATGTGAGGTGAATGACCAAGAGTGCAACCTGTGTAAACAAATCAGTGGGTCTGTTATCTCAGACTCTAATATATAAACATTGAAATAATATGTTTTTCAAGTAGGCCATTATATAGGCTATATATATACACACACATACTCTTGAAGGAACATAGTCAGAAGTTCCTTCATTTACAATCAAGGCAGATGTTGAAGAATAATGAACACTAATATAATATAAACCTCCAAGAAAATGCAGTGACATTATGGAAATGCAGTGACATTATTATGCAGGCATACTGAACGTTGGGCCCAAAGCCAAGATAATATGACTCTGTTAGTCCTTGGTACAGGCTGAGTTAATGACAGTTAAACATGATAAATGTCATTAACCCCTTTCCTCATGCAGACCATGATTCAGCTCCCACAGCGTAGAGCATACCTTTTCCTTGAAAGTAAATAGGCTAGTCTGTCTGATGTGTAAGGGTCAGAAAGGTCAAGGCTGAAGATTAGTCGCATACTAAAGGAGATGCTATAAATAAGCCTTTGAGGATTCAAACTGGAGCCATTCAGAAGTGCAAAACAGGACCCGTCACAACAGTTTCACATAAGTTAGGCATTACATTAGAGGAAATGAAAAAATACGTTAACAAACAGCATCCTCAAGGAATTCTCTTCAGGATCCTAAGCTGTAAGAATGACTTTGCGCACTTTAGCTATCCAGAGACACAACGCTGCCACTGTGAGCGATTAGTGTGCTTGAAAAACCCACGTACGACCTGTCTTGCTCCCTTTGGGGTCTTGGTAATTAAACGATTCACTTCCTGAAGAATTTACCTTCTTTCCAAAATCTGCCGCTCAACGACCAGTTCGTGTTCGTCCTTCTTCAGAACCGCTGCTGGGTGCCTCTTTTCCTCCTGGCACTTGCGCAAGAGCACGTGACTTTCGAGGTGTGGGACTTCCCTGCTGCCAGCATCCTTAGAAACATACTGATGAACGGTCAGCAGAAATCAGATGACTGTCCGCCCACCCTGGCAGAAGTGGACAAGCTTCAGATGTTCCTAAACAAAGTATGGAGTCTGGACCTGAGTCTAAATGAGTATGCGTATCTCAAGGGTGCAATAGGCCTACTGTTCAGTCAAGGTGAGATTTAAAAAATGAAAAAAAAAAAAATGTAAGAGCATGGTTTGCCATAGCTTTTGAAAATGAGGTGTGCTTAATTGTATTGAATGTACAGGTGTGTACTTCGTATCTTAACAGTAGCATTTAAAAACAACAACCTCGTAGATCATTTAAAATAAAAGGCCGCCTATGTAGGCTACACTTAGAATATACTTTCATGAGTGTTTTTAACACACTTTTAAAAACTTAAAATACAACTAATAATGGCAAATTAAAACTTTTACCTTTAAGACCATTTTAAATCATTATTTTAGTTTTAATCATCTTTTTTCATGCTTTAAAGAGTAGTTATTTTGATGTGTTTACTATCATTCTAAAGCACATGTAAAAAGTAGGCTACTTAATTATAATTTTAACTGTACAAAATTGCAACTTCATCATTACGAATACTAACTAATGTATAACATTAATATATTAGCGAACATGAACTAACAATGAGGAATGTATTTATTACAACATTTATTAATCTCTGTTAATGTGTCAAAAAGTTAAAAAAGTCAACATTTATTCTAAAACAGCAAACAAGTTATGTTGAACAAAGACATAAAACTGGCAAAGAATAAACAAAACATGGGCCGCCGGAGCAACGGGGGCGAGCCGGCTTTTGACCTGCACTTTTCAAACTACCCCAGCACATGAGATAAAGGGCCCTATCATACACCCAGCGCAATGTGGCGCAAAGCGCGATGCAAGTATTTTTATAGTTTCAGGCCGACGCAGTTATCATTTTCACGTCCTGCACCACGTTCCCAACGTTGCCCATTTATGAGCCCATGGGTGTGGTGGTCTGAAAACGAGGTGTATTCAGGCGCATTGTTGGAGCATTGCTATTTTAAGGCAACTGAAATGGACCAACTGAAACCTGTTGCAAATTCCACCATGTAAATAGCAATCCGCCATGGCGCGAGCGCAACTGGCTTTTAAAAGGGAATGACACTCTGATTGGTTTATTGCACATTACGCCCAAAACACACCCATTACTCATTAAGAGAACAGGGACAACCCTTTTAGACCATGCGGTTAGATCGTTAAAATAGGGCCCAAAGGGTTGAACCGCGCTTTGCTGCTCACTGCCGCTTAATTGTGTGTTGAATCAGTATGGCGAACGTTTCGATAATTTCATTAAATGTAAGTGAATTTTTATGTATAACTAATGGTGGTTCCCTTTCAGTTCGGTCACGTTTGACGTAGTCGGGTGTGTCTCCGTCTTTTTCAAGATGCCATTCCACCCGTGCGTTTCTGGATGCGGTCGGTTATTTATCACAAAATAATAATTTGAAGATTTGGTGCCACCCTATATTGTGCAAATATTCCCAAATATTAAAAATGTGTTATAAAATGCCAGTTGGTGCTGCAGGAAGGAGAGGAACAGAGTAGCATTTGATGCAGAGCACAGTCACCTGACCAGGATGAACTGAGGACATTTATTCACTGAGTGCTGAAATACAGCTAACAGCAGACATGCGTGTGATTGGTTGACACACCAGCTTTGTTAGTGCACTTACTGCATAAAAGTCATTAACAAAGCAGTTGTTTATTCAAACTGATAGTTTTGGCAGTTAACCCCAATTTCTCCATGGAAACTCTGACATGAATGTGATAAAACACCTTAAATGTAGCCTACATTGTCATTGAAACACCACTGATTTAATGTTGATAATGCTACAACTGCTGGATTAAAGGGATAGTTCGCCTAAAATTAAAACTCTGTCATCATTTACTCACACTCGTGTCATTCCAAACCTCAATCTTTCTTTCTTCTGTTATCAAAGGATGTCAAAGGTCATCGAAAAATTTTATGCAAATCAAATCTGATAAAACAGCCTTAAATGTGATAGATAGATAGATCAAGTTTTTGATATTGCGCATGTGCAGGATGTGAAAGGTCACAATGTCCACATAATTATTTCAAAGCACAGTGGACCACTACCATGAAGAATGTAAGAGCTGTCAAGGAAGACTGAGCATTTTGACAGGATAAAAATCACCTGAATGTTGGACCACCTGTAAACAGCTTCTAAAGAACTGGATGAGACAATATGTTTGCGTATGTTTGCATGTGAGCCACTTTCATAATTGTGTCAAATATCGGCTCATAAGCCGTCCCATTTTGTTCAGTCTCGTTTGGAAAGTCAAGTTAACCCTCGTTGTCTGCAGACAATTAGGTGAAGGTTCTACGGCCACCGTAAGGTTCAGATGATATGCACTTTGTCATTTAAAGCTGCACTGTAACATTTGACCCTCTAACGGTTAATAAAGTAAACTGAATGAGTCTTGCAGAACATTGTTTTGATTGTGTTTCGGCCTTATGGTTTCGGCTCTGGTCCTCTGCGCTGATTATCGTATTCGAGGCCTACAACTTATCACAGCGAATGGAAAAATAAATAATGTTTTTGTTTGTAATTAAAACCACACAAATTTTCTCAACACAATTTCAGCTTTCAAAACTTTTCAACGCTGCCCAGTGCTCACCACTACGGGTATGACGTGAGACGCACGGACGAATGACGTAGCCTATGAATGCGATTTCCGTCCCGACATTATTGTCATTTATCAAAGTAAAGACATGGTTGGGCAGATGGATTTTTGCACATTATGCGCAATAAGAAAAAAAAAATTTGATTTCCATTACACGAGAGTAGATGTTAAAACTTCATGCTGATTTGTACTCGGCTTTCGCCAAGATAAGCAAAACTAAGACGTAGCTTTACAGTAAACTATGCTTCTCCATCCATTTACACTTCTTTCCATATGGTGGTGTGACTCCCCTTCTGTCCGGCGTTAACGGCTGCAGTGTACTTGCCGCGTCAGCACACGCGTTGATAATGTTGATAATGCGTTGATAATGTTGATAATGCTACAACTGCTGGATTAAAGGGATAGTTCGCCTAAAATTAAAACTCTGTCATCATTTACTCACACTCGTGTCATTCCAAACCTCAATCTTTCTTTCTTCTGTTATCAAAGGATGTCAAAGGTCATCGAAAAATTTTATGCAAATCAAATCTGATAAAACAGCCTTAAATGTGATAGATAGATAGATCAAGTTTTTGATATTGCGCATGTGCAGGATGTGAAAGGTCACAATGTCCACATAATTATTTCAAAGCACAGTGGACCACTACCATGAAGAATGTAAGAGCTGTCAAGGAAGACTGAGCATTTTGACAGGATAAAAATCACCTGAATGTTGGACCACCTGTAAACAGCTTCTAAAGAACTGGATGAGACAATATGTTTGCGTATGTTTGCATGTGAGCCACTTTCATAATTGTGTCAAATATCGGCTCATAAGCCGTCCCATTTTGTTCAGTCTCGTTTGGAAAGTCAAGTTAACCCTCGTTGTCTGCAGACAATTAGGTGAAGGTTCTACGGCCACCGTAAGGTTCAGATGATATGCACTTTGTCATTTAAAGCTGCACTGTAACATTTGACCCTCTAACGGTTAATAAAGTAAACTGAATGAGTCTTGCAGAACATTGTTTTGATTGTGTTTCGGCCTTATGGTTTCGGCTCTGGTCCTCTGCGCTGATTATCGTATTCGAGGCCTACAACTTATCACAGCGAATGGAAAAATAAATAATGTTTTTGTTTGTAATTAAAACCACACAAATTTTCTCAACACAATTTCAGCTTTCAAAACTTTTCAACGCTGCCCAGTGCTCACCACTACGGGTATGACGTGAGACGCACGGACGAATGACGTAGCCTATGAATGCGATTTCCGTCCCGACATTATTGTCATTTATCAAAGTAAAGACATGGTTGGGCAGATGGATTTTTGCACATTATGCGCAATAAGAAAAAAAAAAATTGATTTCCATTACACGAGAGTAGATGTTAAAACTTCATGCTGATTTGTACTCGGCTTTCGCCAAGATAAGCAAAACTAAGACGTAGCTTTACAGTAAACTATGCTTCTCCATCCATTTACACTTCTTTCCATATGGTGGTGTGACTCCCCTTCTGTCCGGCGTTAACGGCTGCAGTGTACTTGCCGCGTCAGCACACGCGACGGCTGCAACTACAGGACCAGCACGACAACCGTCTGGATTGAGCCGAGTAGGGGACATCTCTAGGGTCTTCAAGTGGGCACCTTCCGTCCTCAGTGTTTCGTCGACTAGCCCACGACACCTCAAGAGGGCTCGACAGTGACTCTGGCGTCCCAGAGTCACCCCCCTCCGTCTCCCACTCAACTCAGTCCAGCTTACTGACCTCTACATCCCTCCTGCTGCTGAGACCTAACCACAATCTCTCCGCAACCCGACCATACGCGCCAACCCGTTTGACTAAGGCTGTTGAGCCCCACTGGTGCGTTAATATGCAGTTTCAGTGGACAACGGTTCCGTATGGCATACCACCTACCGCAAAACACAATATCTGCCCAACCACCCGTCATTCACGCAATATCCACAGGAACGTATACAAATAAACCAACAGACTCTTCAAGTTTTCAAGAATTCTACGAAACCGTAGCGTGGCGGCCTACACACAGCCAGCTAGAATCTTTCCGTCTCAACCACAGCCAGTTGCTGCTCCTTTCTGCTGCTTCAGATAAGTTCTTTATTGTGCGACGCAACTCTTGGCCGCTGAATCCGATGTCTCTGAGGAACCGGGTTGTAGAGTGTGCCACAAAACCTCGGCAACCCACTTCCACTGGATAAACCTGGACTCTCCATCCTCGCTGTTCTGCTTCAGTGGCCAGATGAGCATACCGCAGTTTCTTCCTCTCATATGCCTCATCTACCGCATCCTCCCATGGCACTGTTAACTCTATCAGTTGAACAATGCGTGCTGATCCAGACCACAAAACAATATCTGGTCGTAGGTTAGTGGTGGCAATCTCAGGTGGAAAAATAAGCCGTTGACCAAGATCAGCCAGCATCTTTCAGTCCCTAGCAGCTTCCAGTTGTCCTGGGCGAGAATTGGTGTTAACACCTTTTCTTGGTGGTTACTCGCCTGGGCGGAGGAATATTGTCTTCTGCGTGTAATGTCTTGCTAGAACAGGTGGCAACTTATTGGTCATGTTACGCTTGCCTTCTAATGCTAAAGCCAAACATCGCAGTACTTGGTCATGGCGCCAAGTAAACCGACCTTGGCTAAGAGCCACCTTACATCCTGTCAAAATGTGCCTTAATGTGGCAGGTGATGAACACAAAGGACAAGAGGGATCCTCTCCTACCCAGAGGTTTAGGTTCTGTGGTGATGGGAGAACATCATATGTTGACCTGATAAGGAAACTGATCCTACTCTCTTCCATTGACCAAAGGTCTTGCCAGCCCATCTTACGTTGTTCCACACTCTCCCATTTCATCCACTCTCCCTGCTTGGCCTGGGAAATGGCCTTTATACACCTCATCCTCTCCTCCTGCTTACGCACCTCGTTGACTACCAGCTTCCTCCTTTGAGCTGGGCCTGCCTTGTGCCATTTAGGAGGAGCTAAACTGAGCCCAAAACCCCCTCTTCCATGCTGTACCTGTCCCACGATATCCCCAATTTGAAGGGCAGCCTTTGCCTCTACTACAGATTTCTTTGCTGACCACTTTCTACCAGTTTTTAACACAGGTGCTGCCTCCCTTACACATTTGTCGCGTGACTCTACTAAGGTAATTTCCAGTCTGACCTTGGCACACTTAAACTCCTCGGTTAAAGCAGAGACTGGCAGCTGCAATATTCCTTTACTATAAAGTCCCACTCTGCTGAGGCAGCGTGGAACTCCCAACCATTTCCTAATGTATGACCTTATCAACGCTTCCAGCTTATCCACTGTTGTCAAAGAAACGTCGTACACGGTCAGTGGCCACAGCAACCTCGGCAGTAGACCAAACTGAAAGCACCAGAGTTTTAGTTTGCCAGGTAGAGCACAGCTGTTTATGCTCTTCAACCCTTCCACTGCTTGTCATCTAACTTCTCCCACCCGAACTGTGTCCTTTAGATCCCCATCGTACCATCTCCCAAGACTCTTCACTGGCTCCTCAGAAACTGTTGGTATTGCCTCACCATTAATGAAGAATGTTTTATCTACTACCTACTATCGAGATGCTCCTTGATTTAGAGGGCTTAAATTGCATTCGTGCCCATTCAATATTATCTGTTAACTTCCCCAATAACCGATTAGTGCAGGCTACTGTTGTAATCATGGTTGTCATGTCATCCATGTATGCTCTGATTGGTGGTAGCCGCATCCCAGAAGCCAAGCGCTCTCCTCCTACTACCCATCTTGATGCCCTAATGATTACTTCCATCGCCATGGTAAAAGCCAGTGGAGAAATAGTGTATCCTGCCATTATTCCAACCTCTAGGCATTGCCATGCAGTGCTGAATTTTGGAGTTGAGAAACTGAATTGCAAATCTCCAAAATAGGCTTTCACTAAATTTGTTATTGACATTGGTACTCTGAAAAAATCAAATGCTGCCCAAAGAAGCTCATGTGGCACTGAACCATATGCATTAGCCAAATCCAGGAATGTCACATGGAGCTCCTTCCTCTCCTTTTTAGCTGACTGAATTCGTTGCCAGATAACATTGATGTGTTCTAAGCATCCTGAGAACCCTGGAATGCCCGCTTTTTGAACTGAGGTGTCAATGAAGCCATTCTTTAACAGGTAGGTGGACAATCTCTGGGCAATAATGCTGAAGAAAATCTTACCCTCAACGTTTAATACTGAAATAGGACGAAACTGACTGATGCTTTTCACATCTTTTTCTTTAGGTATAAAGACTCCACCTGCTCTGCGCCATGCTCTAGGTACAACCTGTTTTTCCCATGCCACTTTTATCAATTTCCACAGAATTCGCAGAACTCCTGAAGCACTCTTGTACACTCTGTACGGAACTCCATTAGGCCCTGGAGATGATGAAGCCCTTGCCTTTCTCACAGCCTGCTCTACCTCTTTCCACTTGGTGCACAGACCTCCATTTGGTATTCAGCTGGTGGGTTGATAGGTAGTATGTCTGATGGAATTGACATAGGCTCATGCCTTTTTGCATCTGTATGCGTGTCCTCCAAATATCTCTCTAGCTCAATCCTAGATGTTTTTAAAGTGCCATTCTTCTCACTGGTGAATAACTTCTTTACGAATTTGAATGGGTCTTTATAGAAATTAGCCCTCGCACGTTCCTTCTTTTTGTAGCGTTTCCGTAGGCGCTCAGCTCTGCGTAATGTTGCCAGCTTATCTTTTATGGCCCTTTGTAAGAGATTGAGTCCCTCCTTCTGACTTTGTTCTGCTCTTTTCCATTGCTTCCTCAGCCGTCTCCTTTCTCTAACTAACCCTTCAATTTTCTGCTGCCGTCTAGACATTCCAGGAGTAGTTTGTACTTTTTCCTTCCTTTTTTCCACACCAAACCTCTCACTTCCATATGCATAAATGATGTCCCCAAATTTATCCAGCTTCTTTTCAACTGTACCAGTTAATCTTTCCAATGCAAAGCATAGATCTGTGTTTACCGTGTCCCATGCAGTTTTCTCACAAGCTCTTGGCCATCTAACTCCAGGCCTATGCCCGTTGAGGTTCTTTTCTCTCTTATGCTGGTTAGCCTGACCGGTAACACTTTAGAATACTGTATCTTACTTACTGCATAACTAATAAGGAATTATTGAAGAACTAGTAGGTAATTCTTCATTAACTACTTCTTCACTGCTGTCAACTAAGGAAGATGTGTTAACTAATCAGTATGTAATAGAATTTTATGATTGTGTTAAGTTACAGTTAGTTAATCAATAACTAATGAATTCTGGCATACCTCCTGAAGAACTACCATTAATTATCTACTAATTAAGGTTCAAGAAAAATAACTAAGTAGTAACTAATGAACAGTCATACAAAACTAACCTCAGATTATTTTTTATATTTTATAGACAGTACTGTGTGTGTCTGTTTTCCTCAGCATAGAATGCAATTGAGTAAATTCATGTATTTTAGGCAACAACTGAGGGGAACTGAAAATATAGGGAACTTATTAGTAATTAATAAATAATTATTAGATAATTCTCCAGGAATTATTTATAATCTGGAACAGTATTCTAAAGTGAAAATACAGGGAACCCATTAGTAATTAATAAAGAATTATCAAATAATTATCCAGGAATTAGGCTACTTATAACCTGAAACAGTGTTCAAAAGTGAAAATATAGGGAATTTATTAGTAATTAATAAATAATTATTAGATAATTCTTCAGGAATTACTTAGAACCTGGAACAGTATTCTAAAGTGAAAATATAGGGAACCCATTAGTAATTAATAAAAAATTATCAAATAACTATCCAGGAATTAGGCAACTGATAACCTGAAACGGTGTTCTAAAGTGAAAATATAGGGAACTTATTAGTAATTAATAAAGAATTATTAGATAATTCTTCAGGAATTACTTATAACCTGAAACGGTATTCTAAAGTGAAAATATAGGGAACCCATTAGTAATTAATAAAGAATTACCACATACTTCAGGTTCTGACTCAAATAAAACTTACTGTTAAAAGAACACTATTAACGTAATCACCTTTGTAAAATACACGACAATGACTCGTTTAAGCTACATGATATCTTCCTTTATTTCAGATGATATTTTGTTTTAACATGTATACTGCCTACATTTAAACTTGTTTAACCCTTTGATGCACAACATGGGTCTAAATAGACCCGACTGAGTTTTAATTTTCTATATCTTTGCAAGAAATTAATTTCATCATTCAGTATTCCAGGTATTCCTCAATTAACTTGTTTTTGATCATCACAAATCCTTATTTTTATTTTTACTTTCTTACTTTTTGAATAAAAATAGTTTTTGTATCACAACCCTTCTAATGCGCAACATGGGTCTAAAAAGACCCGTATTCATTTCCTATGTTATTTCAGTGATGGCTGAGTGTTTTCTTTGCTGAATCTTTAAAATATATGTATTTTATCATTTGTTATTCCAGGTATTCATTAAATATCTTGTTTTTGATTTCCACAAATCATTATGTTTATGTTTTCTTTCTTACTTTATAAACAAACACAGTTTTTGTATTTCTACATAAATTTTACATACATGGGTCTAAAATGACCCGTATTCATTTCCTATGTTATTTCAGTGATGGCTGAGTGTTTCTTTGCTGAATCTTTAAAATATATGCATTTTATCATTTGTTATTCCAGATATTCATTAAATATTGATATTTATGTTTTCTTTCTTACTTTATATACAAACAGAGTTTTTGTATTTCTACATTCATTTTACATACATGGGTCAAAAATGACCCATATAGAAACCTTTGATATTTGCACATATTTGCAAGTAGGAACATATTTACTGCATAAATACTATTACTATAGTATTATTACATAATACTATTCACCTGCCACACATTTCACAACTCAACACTGCTGCTTTTGTATATTTGATGCAAGTCTTATTTTATTTTAACCACAGAAAATATTTGATATTTTGTAAAAGATAACTGGACATAATATTTGAATATTAGGCTATGGTTACTTGACCATGAAATCCTAGTGAGAAATTACTTGTGAGAAAGAGAAACATATCCAATACTATTAGCTAGCTAGCTGTCGAAATATTCTATTCTAGCTAGCTAATGTTAGCTACACTAAAAAAATATGGGTTTTTAAAGGGGAACTCAGCAACTCTAGCTATTTCTTCGCTGATTTTCACTTTTGTTGTCGCATGTTTTCTCAACGAGCTCCCCCTACAGCTGTGGGACGTATATTTCACAACAATGTTGTAAAAAAACTCACTTGCGGCCCCTCCTCCCCCTTTCTACCGCTGCTCATGTGCATTTGTTATTATCGGAGCCGGCCAACTTTATCGTGTGGAGCTATACCGAGGTGGGTAATACATCATACACATTGAGGGCGGCGTGTGTGTTTATGTCGAATTGCCATAAAGCATTTTGTGTTTCTCACTCGTTCTCGCTTCTCACAAGACTTCCTGTTTCCAACTTACTGGGAAGTTAGTCCCCATGTTGCAAGGTTGGTTTTCCGCCTAGGAACGTTGGGGGGAGCAGGGAAAGTCACCATTTTCACCAGAACAGGTTATTAAATCATCCAAATGATTTCTAAACGGTTTTATTAAGTTGAAATAGTTGCCAAATGCCCCTTTAAAGCTTATTTACATGTAATAGGCCTCAAAGTTCTATTAAGAACCGTATAGTCTTGAATAAGCCATTATGCTGAAATGGTTCGATGTGTTAAGAGTTTAGGGTCCATTTTTCCCCGCCTTTTGATTTTAAAATCTGTAACTGTCAAAGCCACCTGAAATAACATAGGAAATGAATACGGTCATTTTAGACCCGTGTATGTAAAATTTATGTAGAAATACAAAAACTGTGTTTGTTTATAAAGTAAGAAAGAAAACATAAACATAATGATTTGTGGAAATCAAAAACAAAGATATTTAATGAATACCTGGAATAACAAATGATAAAATACATATATTTTAAAGATTCAGCAAAGAAACACTCAGCCATGATTGAAATAACATAGGAAATGAATACGGGTCTTTTTAGACCCGTGTATGTAAAATTGATGTAGAAATACAAAAACTGTGTTTGTTTATAAAGTAAGAAAGGAAACATAAACATAATGATTTGTGAAAATCAAAAACAAGATATTTAATCAATAGCTGGAATAACAAATGATAAAATACATATATTTTAAAGATTCAGCAAAGAAACATTCAGCCATGACTGAAATAACATAGGAAATGAGTACGGGTCTTTTTAGACCCATGTTGCGCATTAGAAGGGGTATCCATAGCTTGCGCATCAAAGGGTTAACAAACATTTATAATCAAAAGTTAAACCTTTAAAAGTAATTCAAGTAATCAACTGTTCTCGCGTCTCCTCGGTAGTGTTGCTGGATCTCTTGCGGGAGCTGGGCTCGTGTTCGGCGGGGAAACTGCTTAACTTCAGACCGCCGCCCTGCGTTTTACTGCCCATAAACAAACAGTGCACAGCTCTAAGAACATATTTAACATCTGATGTAAATAGATTTACTATATTTATGAATAAAATACTTTGTTTTATGCAAGGGATCAGGCGTTTCCATCACGCAAAAAAGACAGACTCAGCTGGGTGGCTTAGTGACATCGCGTCATTGTATGTTCCCTTGCATAAAATAAAATGATTTACAGCACAGTAATGATTTTACAGATTAAATAAAACGTACACAAACCTGTTTTTCGCAGAAGAAATGCACCAAATCGGCGGCGCTGAGAACTCTCCAGAAGAGGATGCAAATGCCCGCGCTCTTGCATCACCAAATCACTGTAAAATGTAGGCTACCGTGATATTGCCGGAACTTGAATGGTGCAAAATAAGTTTAAAATGTATAAGAACTAAGTATAATAAAATGCTTTTTTACCTTTTAAGTACTTTAAAAATTAATTACCTTTGTACTTTTACAAAGGTAATTTTGAAAATGGCCTACTTATAATTGTACTGGAGTAATATTTTATTGGGGTTTCTTTACTTTTACTCAAGTACTTGATTTGTGTACTTCTTCCACCACTACAATGCTGGAAAAAAAAAACTGGATTATTGTAGTGACTACTGTGTATGACTGTTCATTAGTAGTTACTTCATAGTTATTTTTCTTGAACCTTAATTAATAGATAATTAATGGTAGTTCTTCAGGAGGTATGACAGAATTCATTAGTTATTGATTAACTAACTGTTACTTAACACAATCATAAAATTCTATTACATACTGATTAGTTAACACATCTTCCTTAGTAGTTAACAGCAGTGAAGAAGTAGTTAATGAAGAATTACCTACTAGTTCTTCAATAATTCCTTATTAGTTATGCAGTAAGAAAGATACAGTATTCTAAAGTGTTACCGCCTGACCGGGTTCACAAGTATGAATATGTTCATCACTACCTGTGCAAGCCCTCCTTTTTATCAAAAAAGTTACATAGCCTATACTATTGTAGATTTAACATGCATTGACCTGATCACAAGTAAAATTAAACCAGTTGTAATATAGGCCTACATGACAATTCTTTATGTTTGAACACAGAAACTTCTACTGTCACCTCAGGAGGATGGTGGTCGTAGTTAGTTCATCCCTGTATCCAATTAAAATTGAAAACTAACAGCACTAACAACAAGGGGAACAACACTAACAACAATCTTGTTATCTCCTTATATGAACAAAGCACGGTCTGTATTAAGAATGGGATGTCATTAGAGTTCATGTGCATAAAGGCAGGCGTCCCAAAACGTTTGGCAGAATGTCATGTGTAGTGTGGATTATCTAAATTGTTCCTGGTTCTTTTTACATTTAATGTTTGAAATGTAAAAGTGATGACTTCCCTCTGTTTCAGATGTTCCTGGCCTGAAGAGTTGGGCAGTAATCGCAGGACTGCAGAAGGAGGCCCAGAGAGTTCTGCACATGCTTATTCTCTGCCATCATCACCCCAGAGATCACCATTCATGGACATGCTGTTTACAGCAATCACTTTACAGATGGAGGCCCGAAGCCTGGTTACAGAACTGTTTTTCAGACCCATCACTGGCCAGACGGATCTCCAGGAACTCTTCAATGAGATTGTCAACCAATAGAATAATGTAGAATTATATAATTACATAATCTATGGGATACAATCTGGGAGTGTATAACACTTGTGTATCTTTTTTGCAAGATGTTTTAGTAACCTTTATGTTATTTTTTTATATTAAAACCACAAAGTGCGTCAAATAAAGAGAGTTTTTTTTTTTTTGCATTTTGTAATCCATTCTAATAACTATTATTTGTCTCCACCTATTGGTTGTCCCCTGCATAGCACAAGTTGACGTGCACAGTATGTGGCTGTTTGAGATGGAACCTACTGTTTGAGAAAAAAAAAAAATAATTTGTTGATTGATCGATCGTTAATCTAGTAAATGATTTAATCCACTGAACAACACTGCTGTGGTAATATAAAAACACTCTCCCAACAGCATACTGTTTCTTTTGAGCCTAATTCCTAGTCAAATTAAAATGACATAGTTGTATAATTATGTCACTTCTGATGGTGTTTTGTATAGATATATGGCTAGACGTGCAGTCTACCAATAACATTAGAGCGACAGCACTACGAACGCCCACAAGCGACTTCACAGTACAGAGACAAGCGACATGTAGCAACAAAATCACTGGCGGTGTGAACGGGGCTTTAGTGTAGAGAGGTTAGTGTTCAGGGAATAAGGAGGCGGGAACCTGCCAACGTTCAAACACACTTAAATAAATAAACAAACACAAAACGAAAGTAAAAGCAGCAAAGGCTCGATACTCCTTCGCCTCCTGGCAACCGACAATGGCTCATCCGCTACGTCCCGGCAGCATCATGGCGGATAGCAGCAGGCCTGGCTCACGGCGGCAACTTCTCCATCCCCTCATGTATGGCAGCCACTCCTTCATGCTGCCCGACCTCCTCAGCGCTGCTATCCCCCTCAGCAGCGAGGGCTCTCCGACAGCGTGTCCCTCCTTCCTCCCGGGCTTCCTCAAGGCAGACATCAGTGCCTTGAATTTGATGCGAATGGCAATTGGCAACCAGTGCAATTTTATGAGGAGTATTGTATGTGCAGTGTTCTGTATCAGTTGCAGAGGTTTGACAGTGCATGCTGGAAGGCATGCCAAGAGAGCATTACAATAGTCCAGTCTGGATAGAACAAGAGCTTGGACAAGGAGTTGTGTAGCATGCTCTGATGTGAAGGGCCTGATCCTCCTAATGTATAAGGCAAATCTGCAGGACCAGGCAGTTGTAGCAATGTGGTCTGTGACGCTTAACTGATTGTCAATCACAACTCCAAGGTTCCTGGCTGTCCTTGATGGAGTTATGGTTGCCAAATCTAGCTGAATGGAGAAGTTGTGGTGAAGAGTTGGGTTGGCTGAGACCACAAGCAGCTCTGTCTTCGCAAGGTTGAGTTGAAGGTGGTGGTCCTTCATCCAGCAAGAAATGTCTGTCAGGCAGGCCGAGATGCGAGTAGCTACCTTTGGATTATCGGGCTGGAATGAGAGGTTAGTTGAAAATTGCACATTGTAATTACAAGTTCTACAAGCACGTAAAGGCTTTTTTTCAGTTCAGAATCGTTACGGATGACATGGAGTGAACGCATCTTCAGGCTGCGTCAGAAAGCTGAAAAATGTTTCCTTCGGAGGACCATTCCAAGGTAGGAAGGCATCAAGGCACGTCCAAAACTAATGTTAGCTCCACTTCCTGTCTCCTGAGATACCTTCACCTGATACATTTTTAAAGGCTGCATGTGTATCCTTCGCTGCCTTTAATATCCCACAATCCTATGCGTTCCATTCCGTGACAGTTGAGCTTAAAAATAAACATGGCATCTGAAAGTTGTGGTTCATGGTCAGTTTGTACTTTTTTAACCAACGTTTTCCACTTTTGATGTCATTTCTATTGAGAAATTAATATTGTAGTAATTAAATATTTTCTTAATTTGGTTCACCAAAGCTTTCTCTATTTTGGTGTAGATCAGTTTCAGCAGGTACCTTTATACGCAAACACTACCTGCAAAGTCATTGCCTGATAGGGCAGCGAGGCAAAAAGTCAGCCACCTATAAGCTTTCAGATGCAGTCTCAACGCATAATTCCAGGTCTGAGAACGTGAACAGCTCCGAGTAGATGGTCACGTGTTGTAATCTCGTAATTACGGTTATACGCTGATTTCACGCAGCTGCAATTTTGAAATGGCTCCGGTGGGAAGAAAACCGGAAGTGTCGCCTTTAATCATAGGAGAGTCGCGATGGCGTATTGTTGTGTTTAATGTAGAAATTAGTTACTCTAAAAATGTACATACATTTCTTTCATATTTTAGACTATATACAGTGAAATTCATTTATAAATAAAATATATTTTTATATAAATATATATAATTCAGAACGTAAAAAAAAGAAGCAGGAACGAACTATATACATATCCTATATTGGATATTAACATCCAATAGTGTAAATCGCGGCAGCAGCTTCAGGTTGGTAGTCCAAGGCACTGTTGTCTATCTCAACATGACATCATGACTTTGCGTAAACATACACGCCACTTTCAAGTCAAGTGGCGTGTTATCTATACGCATTTTGAGCTATCCGCGTGTATGTCCACGCCGAAACGAACCGTCATCTTTTGCGTGTATGTCTACGCCGTTAAATGTCAGAGTGATTCCGCGTGTTTGTACACGCCGTTAAATGTCCGAGCGAAACGAAGCAAAATGTAGATCTACATCTGGGGAGCGATATATTTTTTCCTAGGATGGTAGGGAAAGACTCATAAATGGTATTAACCCCAGTGACGGGTAGGTTTAGGGACGGGGTTGGGGTAGGTCATATATTTATATATACAGTAATGTAACGTTAAGTCAAGGGCGTTGATAAACACGCTGAAAAGCGATTATGCGTGTTGATAGCACGCCAAAAATGGAAATACGAACCATACGCCATTTCATGAGATCAGTCTGTCTATCTGTACTTCCGGGGTTCTTCCCACCGGAGCCTCGCTTTCGATTTCAAAATGGCGGCTGCGTGAAATCAGCGTATTACGACATGGTGTGAACACAGAAGAACTAATTTCTCCATTAAGTTATGTGGTCTGGTATATTTAGAATGCTTTTTAGAGCTATATCTTTATCGTCCTTAGCGTGAACAGTAGCCTGGTTAAAACCAGACCATTCTCAGTTGTAACTGAGTTATGGTCTGGCAAAGCGTCATAGACAAATCATTTCCAGAGGGGCGTCACCAACGGATGTCGCGGATAGACATAAAACCAATCAGAGCGATGAAGGAGATGACGTATGCAGAGCGGCAGAAACATCTCCGAGTGTTGTTCTTTGCTCGGTTTTTAACAAAAAGGAAACGTTCAAATCGCTTAAAACAGACGCGATAGCTGATTCGAACGAGTGATGTTCGACGGCGGCATCCATCTAATGTAGGCTACAAAATCTGTTTCAAAATCCCAGCGCTGTTGTCATCGTGTAAAGCCCGCCCCAACGTTTCTGATTGGTGCCTCGATTTCGACGGATTGGAAATGGGCTTGAATGAGCTCTTTGCCAGACTAACTTTCAGAGCAAATCTAAATTAGCCAGAAGTTGTCTGGGTTTTCCCAGGCTACGTGAACAGGCCTTTGGCTTTGGAAAATGTGAAAAATGACTCAGTGCAGCACCTCTTCTCTATTTAGCAACAATATGAAGGAAGTGTTGTTATTCCCCATCCATGACAAGAGATTGTCAAACCTGTTGCGTTTGTTTGCTGTTTGCAGAGCTCTGTTTTGAGGAGACATAAATCATATCTTCAGGCTTATAGTACTGCACAAACACACCTTAATTCAACTAATTAAAATGTTAATTACTTCTTATATTATTCATGTACATAATTTTTCTCAGATATGTGTATAAATACACAAAAAGCATGAAGTCTCAGTATTGAACTGGCACTATCAGGTATGACAAGCTTCAGTAGTTTCGATGGTAGCTAAACCATAGATGATTCATAAAAAAATCAACAGGAACATCCTGGATATAAGTACGTTTGACAAACACTCAAATGACCCTGTTTTCCCCCGCCAGACTCCAAAAACCCCTGGAGGCGGCTTCGTTAAACAAGGGTGGATTGTTGTTAAACTGATACAGCAGCGAAAGTATTCAGGGCAAATACACTTGGTGTTATAAGGAAATAAGTCCAAGCCAATGAGATTATAACTAATCACGCCTGGACTTATTTGATATTATTGAGCCAATGATAGACAGAATCAAACACAATCATTTATAAATGATTGACTTTGTGCTCGTTTCACATAAGACATAATTAAATTATAACCACATAACCAAGACTGTGGTCTATACAGGCAGATCTGTAACCCACACTGACTACAGGGTTATTCAAGGTCATGTGGCTGTGGTTTATGGGCCGCTTGATCGAGGTTAAGGCCCCATCCACACTACTACGTTTTAGATTAGAAACGGAGACCTTTTGCTACGTTTGCACCTCCCATCCAGACTAAAACGGCAAAAACGAAGACCTAAAACGGAGAAGTTTAGAAACACTGCTGACCCCGTTTTGCGTTTTGAATCTCCGGAGGGCGTTTTAGTGAAGACGGGTCAAAACGGAGGACTTTAGAAACGATGACGCGGAGGCTCACGCTCGGCTCTCTGGTTGGGTGTCATCAATCATGGCAAGCGTTTCTGACTTTGATGTCTTTGCTAGCAGCTGTTGTGAAAGTAAATTCTGCCTTTTTTTAATGCTATAACTTCGTACATGCGCCGGAGGCAAGCTATTATTCCAGCGATCTGTGACAATTCCCATGTGCAGCGGCGGTATCGAACGTACATGGAGCGCCGCTCTTTGCAGAGGTAACTTAGCTACTTTCTTCTTCGTCAAATCTGAGGAATAGTCCATCTGTTTCCTGTTTACACCGGCACGCGCATGCCCAGTGTAGGTGAATGGTCACATGATCCGCGTTTTCAGTCGTTTTAATGTGGACGGATATCAATTCTAATACGCAGTTAAAACGCTGGTGTGGACGGAGATCGTATTCGTTTTAATTCTCCGTTTCTAAACTAAAACGCACTAGTGTGGATGGGGCCTAAGAGTCAAGAAAGCGAATGGATCGTCAAGAAAGCGCATGGATTTTTGT